AAAGCTTGTATCTTTGGGAACAACCCTTTATGTATGGGTGGGGAGTAAATGAGGTTTCTGAAAGCTGTATCAACATTTTCTAGGAACATGAGACAGTCATAGGTTCTTAGACTGTATATGTCTGATTGAGTAAAATGATGATCCATTTTGTGAAAACAGCAAACAATGAGAGGAAAACTTCACTGATAAAAATATCCAAGACTTAACATAAATCCACAAAACTCTAAAATTACACAACTGCATGTAACTATGTGACTTAATGAGGAGAAAAAGTGACTGAGGCATACCATTATTAATAACTATCTAGATCCACACCAGAGGATGATCATTAAAAGTGGTGTACTTCTAAAAAGCAGTTTACAGTCTGATTCTACATGTGTTCATTCAGAAGTAAATTCTACTGAGTTCACAATGGCTTCCTGCCAAGTGAATGTGCATAAGATTATAGGTTTAGACATGTAAGGTCAGCCACATGTGGGTGATTTCACAAGGAAATTTTAACCACAGACGAATAAGACAGGAGAATCCATCATTCAGTGCACTTTTATCTGTCAAAAATGATTGTGTAAATGACATATACAACGTAATAGGCTACTACTGGAATAATCAAATTAAAATGCATTAGATAAACCCATATTTAGACCATGGATATAGCATTGTATTGGTTTTCTTTTTCATCCTATGTTTTCATGATACTAAATTAATGTTATCAGTCTTATAAAATACTATTGAAAGGATGTTTAGCTTAAATATTGTTTATGTTCTTGTTAAAAATGAATTGGCAAAACCTTTAATTTTAAAATAGGTATCTAATGTTTCATTCATATGATTATGTGTGTGAAAGGGATTCTCTGCTTTTACTCCAGACAGTACCAGATCCAGCATTTCTGTCAATGAACTAATGTAATGAAACTATAAGTCACTAGAACTTAGCAGCCCCAGAACTTAGCAGCCCCACGCACACTGTTCCCCAAACTGTGTGTGCCCTTCTTGCAATGCTTCAGAAGGCTTCAAAAGCCTTCTGAAGCATGAGAAGGCCGTGCGCCATTTGGAGAAGCATGCAGCCTGTGGAAGAAGGCCTGGCACAGCCTGGCTCGCATAGGACCAGGCCAGGCGTGCTTTGTCAGCAGCAGGAAAAAGAAGATGGCAAAGGTCAGCTGGGGGTGGCAGGGCAAGGCCTGCGGAATGCAAGGTGGCGGGGGCAGCTGGGGCTTTGCGCTGGGGTGGCTGGCCGTGGCACGGGGCTTAAGAGGCACTCGTTGGTGGCACCAGCAGTGCTGGGGCTGAAATAGAGGCCTGGGAGTGGCAGTGGCTGGCTGAGACTACTGAAGGCCCTGGGTCTCTACTTCAACCCCAGCACTGCTGGGCCAAGTGCCACTGTGCAGGGCGGCCAAAAGGGCAGAGATGGGGGGAGGTAGGCAGGTGGGGGAGTTCAAGAGACAGCAGAGGAGGCAGTCCCTTACCTTAGTGAGGCTTGGGGCTAGAAGGGACCAAGCTGGGAATGGTTTGGATCAGGGTGGGTCCTTGCCTAACAACCAGTGGGATTCAGTTAACAACGGCAATGGGGACTGCTGGGATTGCTGTTGCTAAGCAATGCACTCACATGACAACACGCTTTACGACTGCATCACTTACCAATGGAAATTCCAGTCCCAATTACCATTGTTAACCAAGAACTATCTATAGTTCTGCAACATCTAGAGGTTAATATGTTGTCCACTGCTAGTTGTAGGTATAGTTGTAGATATATACTCCATCTCTCATACCTTTAGAATCCAAAGTCATCCAATTAATTTGATTTGTGCAGGACAAATAAAAGAAAGCATTTCTTCATATGTGCACACATAAACTGTGTAATTAATTATCACAATATGCAATGATGGCTACAAATTTGAATAGCTTTAAAAAGGGATTCAACAGATTAAACTGAGAGCCAGTTTGGTCTAGTGGTTAAAGCACCAGGCTAGAAACCAGGAGACTGTGAGTTCTAGTCCCTGCTAAACTAGACTGGCCTTTGGCCTCATCCAGACAGCTTTTCTATTTATAAGCAGCCCCTGTAAGTGTGTAAGCTGTCTTTCCACAAAGACCTAGGATCACAATCAGTATTTTAATTCTGATATAATCTGGGCTTGTTTATCCCCCTTTTCTATTATTCTGTCAATTTTAAGGGCAGCTTATACTAGTAGGGGAAAGAAAAATATTCAAACAAAGGTAGAACAGTAAAATTTACATTACAAATCACATTATAAAACCATACCAAAAATGGCAGACTAAACATTCTTCTTGAATCAGCATTCTGATATAAAAATCTTTTTTCTGTTTTCACAAGTTCAGCAAATCTGCTTGCAGGTATTACATATCTGTGTGGCATGTTGCGAAACACCTGCATTATCACATTTAGGTCTGTGGAAGAAAATTTTTTGAGAAGTGAACTTTGAAGAGTTAGATGTGTTGAGCTGCAGGATTTTCTCACTTAATGCTTTTCCTTTCCTTCTTTTCCTTTATTTTTATCAACTGGGGTTATATTTACATACAGAAGTCATCTCCAACTGCACAACACAGTGCTGCTTTCAAATGTCAGGACAGGAGGATGAGAGAAAAGGCATAGAGCCAATGACTTGCAGCCAGCTAGAAGACTCTGAGGTCAAAACCATTAGCTCTCATTTGGGGCTAGTTGTCACCAGGCATGCCAGGAGCTCATTTGTTTTAATGCATTGAACTGGGAAGCCTTGCTTAATATTTAGATTGATGAACAAACTATGAGGAAGCTGAATCAAGTCCCCTAAAGACGCAATGACAGAGTTCTGTAGGAATAAGGAGGACAGAACACAGTTCTCTGTTAGAAAACAAAGTAGGACTTACCAAGGCGTAAATACTAGATGAAAGCTCTTGGAACTTACTCTTTTTGTCTGACAGCTTCAGGTAATGTAAAAGGGGGCCTTTCCTAACTTTCTCCCCATAACAAATTTGTGAGTTAGGCTGAACTTAAAGAGAATGAATGGCTCAAAGGCACCCAATGAGCACTGTGGTCAAGCAAGAACATGAACCCGAGTCTCCTAGGTCCAACATTTTATTTATTTATTTATTCATTCATTCATTCATTCATTCATTCATTCATTCATTCATTCATTCATTTGATTTATGTAGCCTTCCATCACAAACAAGTGACTATGGGTGGCATACATTAGACTGTGCCACATTACAGAACCTTAAACCAAAAATCCTATTATACAGAGAATTCCCTTGGAGTGTCTTGAGCAAATGGAAATCTCAGAATTGTTTTTCACAAAGAACAAAGGCAATCATTCTTTGCTGTATTTACAAAATTCAGTTGGCCAAGGAATTCTGTTCCTTGCTGCTTATCATCTAGGCAAGAGTGTGGTTGATTCTGTTCCTACTGAACCACTAGAGCTGAGAACTGGCCCTGTTTCCCTCTGCAGTCCTTCAAAAGGCCTTCCCCTGCTTTGTTGCTAACTAACAAAAGTTAGAGGGGGTTCCTCTTTGTCTTGAACACAAGAGAATAGTTAATGGTTACTACTGAGGTATCCAAGATGCTGCCTGCAATTACCAACACACCTGCAGGCCCTTGATACCTCCTAGGCTTCCTGATCCATCTGTTCAGGACCAGCTTTGTGGTAAGACCGAGTAGGCACTGGCCTAGGGCATTTAAGGTTAGGGGGCGCCAATACCACCCCTCTTCCAAATCATTCCAAAAATGCAAATCTTTGCATTGGTGTGAAGTGGCACCATAAGTTAATGTTGCCTAGGGGCACATATACCCTTGGCACTGCATCTGTTTATATATTAATTAAATGGAAAACTAAACACTATAAAGGAAAATTCAACCTCCAGCATAATTTTTATTATGAAAAATGACTCTGGCACCCAACGGGCTCCAAAATTGTGAAAAACAAAATACTAAAAGCTCTATTGCTGAAGACAAACAAAAATTAAATCTAACATCTCCTTGGCTATAAATATTTTAATTTGTTTAACTCAAGAAATTATAGAACTTATGCAGCTCTCATATCCTCATCATGAAATGGATATTTCCACTATTTCGTTTGTAAGATTTACATACAAATTTGTTACACTGAACATACAGTATAAGCGAGCTACATTTGCCTATCAAACTAAGCCACAATTTTTAAAAAATAATTTCTTGGATAAGCCACAATGGTTCAGTTCGTTCATAATATTAAAATGTAAGTCATGGTTTACAAATCAGAAAAACTGTTTTCACACATCATTCTAACCCACAAAAGTCCCCAAACCTTGTTATGGCTTAATGGGATGTATGAAACCAGTCTGAACAAAACACATTCAACTTCAGTGTGTGTCTCAATTTAAGCATTTGACCAACTTAAATGTAACAACAGCAGCAGAAAGCACCATGGGCTGAAACAATTATCCAGTTTTAACAACTTTGCACTTTCAGCATCTGCAACTTGCTCCCTATTACTTTTCACTGAAGAATTACTTTTGTTCTGGGAACACAGAACAGAAAATCCATGCATAAGAAGAATAAATATGGTAAGAAGAAAGTTCTGGACTGCTCACCCATACGTTTTTTTAGCTCTTTCCACATAGATAAATCAGTCCTATGTTCATACTTGGTGTGGCCACCAATTTGCAAGCTATTTTTCCTTTATTTTTCCCCATGTCAATTTTAATTGAACCACTAGAGGGTACCCTTTGTAAATTTCTGAAGTATATAATAAAATTCCCTTTAAAAACCTCAATGTTTGAAAAAGAAGAATATGCTTTTGCCCTTGATAAAGAATATTTCTCTTAAAAAATAACTCAATTCTCACCTTTTTTAAAAATCCACAAGCAGTCTTGTAGACATTGTAGGAGGAGAGCTGGGTTAGTCTATAGAATCAATGCCTTTAAATAAAATTTGTTAGTTAGAAAAGTTGCTTCCAGACTTCTTCTGATTTTGAGCAGTCTTGTACAGTCAAATTTCATAGTGGAATTGTTAGCTACATTAAACAACAGCTTTATGTTGAATTCAGATTAGCATAGCTGGCTAATGACACATTCATTCCATCAATACCCACTTTTGAAGAAGAAACAATGTTTTTGAACATTTTGGAACCTCTGTCAGGCATCAAACGTAGGCAGTAAATATTTAGATCAACTTTCTTCAAGTTGGCATTTTCCTGATGAGCCCTGACACCTCCTGAAATGAAGCACCATTAAATCTAGAGACAATGACTGCTTTTTCATAATTTAAATGGATGACTGCCAAAGGGGTCATGGATATAATAGAAAAGAAATCTAGTGCACATAGGCAGATGTACCAAAAACTGAATTTATTTTAAAGGTTAAATCTCATTTGTTCTTCATCAAAAAGCAGCTGGTCAATAAAATCAGATTCACAAAGTGTGTTCAACCATCATAAAATATGAGCATCAAAACACTCCCCTAAAATTCGAAAAATCAGCAGAAGCAGCACATGTTAAAATCTCTACAGATAAAAGAGAATGTAGAGCAGAAGGAAAACCTACTGAATATAATGATAAAAGAATTTCTTCCACCAGAAAGTCTTTTGAAGTAACCAGACTGCATCCAAATGCCTATATTCTTAAAATGTCTGCATGAAAGTGGCCTCATTTGTGTCATGGCCCTCCAACTGCAAGGAGATGAACAGAGAGGAGGAATGTAAGAAGCAAGTTTGGCTATTCTTTAGTTACTTGGCGCTCAAGCAATTTAAAGGTTTAAAACAGACAGGGCATCAATGCGCACAGTCAATGGTCAGGGATGATGCAGTTTGTCATCTAAAAAAATCTAAAGGGGGAAAACTTCCCTAGCTGAGCTTGAAAGGTGATAATTAAAACTTGGTTCTTTCAGAAACAAGCCATCAGCCAACATTAATCAAACAACTATGAGAAAGACGGCTTTTAAAAGAAGCCATCAAAAATTGACTTGTGATTCTTAATAAGGAATATGAATTAATATCAAAGTATGAATTATTCTCATATCTAAAAAACTTGCTGAAACAAAATTCCTTTTGCAAGCATAAGAAATTAGAGCAGATTTACCTTCAGAGCGATGAGTATCCAGCGGTGTCTGAGTCTCCTTGGAGTAGGACACCACTTCCCGAGGCAAGAAGTCCACCTGGGTGATCTTGGAGATTCCAAGCTTGTGTAAACGGCGGCTAGAACAAACACACACAGTATTTGGGGACTGAAACAAGCTTGCCCAAACCCTATGGGGGTCAACCATCCCAAGATGAGGCTTCTTTTCCCTTGACTCCCTTGATTGTTATCTTAGTTAAGAGGGCAAGAGATTCATGCAAACCAGGGAAGAAAAGTTTGCATTCCAGGTTGCTTTGGAATGTTTGCATCTAGCAAAAAGTTCCATGAACAGAATACTGACCCCTGCAACAACTCAGCCTTTAAAAAAAATCATACTTTTTGTTTCTCCAAATTGTTTGTATGGCTTTTTATTACTAGTTTGAAAAAACCACCATACAGTTTTATAGGTGGGATAAGAAACCTGTGACACTCATATGGTGCTGAAGTATAATTCTCAGGATCCCTGGACACAAGGCCACTGGTGAGGGGCACCGAAAGTGGCTTTTAGGGTATCGCAGGTTGCCTATCACTGCTCTAAAACATCAACCACATTGTTTATTATTATGAAGTACAATATATAAATCCTTAAACACTCCTAGATTTCTTTCTGTAGAATGCAAATAGACCAATGCTTGTCTTTTTAAGAGTACAACTAAAAGCACTGTCGTGTTCTTCAACTGCTAGTCAGGGTACCTTGTCATACCATTCTTATAGACTAAACATTCAGAAATAAGCTCCCGATTATCAAATGGAGTTCTTCCAAATTAACATTTTAATTATACTGTCTTTACTCCAAAAATAATATATATTTATGTATGTTAGAGCAGGCAAAGCTTTGGAACATGTCATGAGCATTCTCATTAAATGGCAGGAATAAGCATAGGCAACTGGAGGAGTGGGGCAAGTGATGAAACAAGTATTGGGACACCATGACACAAACTCTGTGACGTATGCAGCTGCACAACATGTTCTGTCACTGCAATTTGTAGCGGATGCCTATGGTTGGGTGGTGGGCAGGTGGGGGTCACAAAATACCTATTTATCAGAATCCAAACTGCTGGGGATTATTCCAGATTGCCCCATTTGCCTATCATGAGCCGTCTTCTCCCCCCCCCCCTTTTTTTTGGTCTTTTTCTGGACAAACAAATACTTCCAAAGCTCTGAGTTGCAGCTATATGCTTTGTTTTGTTTTTTCTACAAATGCTTATGTGGCTGAAGTAATATCCAAAGGTTTTCTTTTGAATAATGCTAGGGGCTGATGACCTGCTCCACAACATGCCAGCCTCTTTAAGTTAAAAACGATCAGGGCAGAAGTATTTATATTAAGGTTCTTACATTGAAGAACTAAAGAAACCAATATATGAATTACTTTCATATGCATTGGCTGTAACTTTTAAAATTACCATACAAATAACATTGTATAAGGAGAAAAGAGAAAAACATTGATGTACTATATTAATAGAATGTTGCTAGCAATGAACACAAAAGCATAGTAGGGAAAGTATTTGGCATGCTGATTACATCAGAGAAATGCATGTTGTTAGACTATATCCACATGCATGTCATAGTTTCCACAAACATGCTGCTTCAACATTCCATCTCCAGTGAAATGAAAAGAAGTCTACAATCCCCAAAGTAGACAACACAACTCCCACATCTGAATAAATTTGGGCTGGCTCAGAAGTGACCCTTTCGGAGGGCGTTACCAAAATGTTCTAAGCAAAATATGGCCCCTCTCAAATTTTCAAAACTGAACAAACGATGTGGAAAGTTGCGTAGAGTTAAATAAAATTATTAACAACAACAACAACAACAATAGTAAAGAGAATGATACAGAAAAAAAGCCTATTCAGGAAGCCAGTTCATGCAATGAAGTCATACTATAACACAAAACAACAAGAGTGGACATATACCCAAGTTCAGAGTCAGACTGAAGCTGGAGCACTGAAGGGTCTGTGTCCCACTGCAGGGTCCTAGCCAGGTTTAATCAGCCGCACAGCACAAAGGAATGGGTGGGCGGGAAAGAACACACAGAATTAACTGAAAGGATGAAGGAAAAGAAGTCACTTCATCACTTGCCATATGTTGTACAAGCACAGAATGCAACTCCAAAAATACCATAGAAAACCACATGGAGGATCACACAATGTTCCTTATCAGACAAGAGCAGGTAATTCAAAAGACTCTACATAAAACTAACAAATGTTACAGCAGCAAGTATTAAAGGCTTCCAATATGTGATGTCTGCTCAGCTAAGCTTAATTACAAATAATGAACATGACAGAATGAGCTTCAGATGTTTAATTAGTGACCACAATTCATTAATGACTGCAACAGAAAATAAACTTGGTCAGATTCCCCACTCTGTTTTTAGCTTTACAAACAACATAAAAGTCATTGCAACTGAGTGAGCACTACAAATGCAAAGTGCACTTCATGCACTTTGATTATTCCAGAAAGAGCATTCTGCAAGCAAAAACCAGTTGCTGCATGCTGAGTGGCTATACCACAAACACAAAAGACTCCCCATGGGATGGTCAAACAAATCTCAGAATGCAACCTTTGGTACAGTACTGTATGCATGGGACATTTTGCACATCCTGATTAATGCATAATCAGCCCCGTCAGCCATGAGTTAAGAACACTGAACATATACTATGGAGAGAGGTGGAAGCACAAGGGTGAGTGTGTTTCTTCCTCCTGGAATTCTATTTTCCAAGATCAAAAGGCAAACTGATCCCTACCCTAGGTACTTTGTTTGTATCTTTGGTTTCAAGTATATCCAGGCCACCACTGATGTACCAGAGGAGGTTTCTAGACAACCACAATTCATGCTGTTTATTACTTGTGGAATCAAATGTATATAATATGATCAGGTCTAACACTGTATAGTAAATACTGTAGATCCTTGATTACTCACACAGTTTAAAAAATGTAATGGGTACTTCACTTTTAAGAACATTCATGATTTTACTTCATGTCATCAATTGCCCAAGAGCTCATTTCTTTAAAAAAATACACCAACTTAGTAAGGTGTCTTTATGAGGATTCCAAACTATAGCATGGCTGCAATTTGGCACATTTAGGACTTTTTCAAGCATGTAAAGTGAGAACATACCAAAGCATTCTGAAAACTGCTTCATTGTGCCATATTTAGAAAGAAAACACAGCCTATAGTATGAGTATACAGAAACTGGCTTTACTGAGGTTATACCAATGTTTCACTTATGCTCCATGAAGTGACTGGCACCACTGTCCTTAAACATGCAGTAAGTACCATTTAAACAGATGTCAATCATGGTTCCTCAACATGGAGCAGTTATTTATTCATTGTGTTTAGGATAACAATGCTGACACACTGACACTCCAGTATCACTGTCAAAACCAGTCACTATTCAGATATGAGCAGGATCAGCCCAAGACATTGGGTTTCCAGAAACAAAGGACAAGATCCCCAACACCATTTCATTTGCAAAGCTAACTGGTAGGGACAATTTTATCTTACTTAAATGCTAACAATAGACCAGCATCCTCCACTGTGGCAAACTAGGTTATGAGATGCCAGACAGGTCATGCAATAGCTCTGTCCTTCAGCATTGACAAGCACTCTCTGTATCTCTACATCTTGCCATCTCCCTCTGACGAATGCTAAGGCCAGCTCTATGAAGCAGATCTAGGACCAACTGCATCTTCAGATACTGAATATCAGATGAATCAGCATATTATCAAATGCAAACAGTTGCTCAATTCATTATAAAACCTGTAGATATGATACCCTGTTTCAATGTGATACTTATCAATAAAATGTGGAGAATAATTCTATGAACAGCTCATTCTGGAAATCTGTGATGACTATGGAAGAAAGAATGGATATAATTTGAATAACGTGGATGTGATAACGATATGTTGAGTTGGGCTCTTAATGGGATGTTTGAGACCTTTTGTAAGAAAAACCTGTAGATAAATTCAGAACTTTTTTTTACACTGTAACTTCCAGATGGATCTCAAACAAGGATTTTTGTGATAGCAAATTACAGAGATTTTTTTCAGAATCAAGGAATCAAATAGCTGTGTGTCATTTTAAACTCTATTTCATAAAGTATTTGACTAATTTTCCCCAAAGAATATCCATTAAGATTGATGGAAGCTACCCATTATAATGATCAAGATTCAAAGGGTAATTATGCAATTTAAAATTAGGAAGTCTTGATTATTCTGGCTGTTTCAGTAGTCTTTTCTTTTGGATTCAGGTAGCACAAGTGAACTGGCATTGGAACTTGATTCTCTATGGAAGGAAAGTGAAACATTTTGGGGCCAAAGGTTACATTAGGCCTATACATAGTGGGTTGGGGTCACATTTTATTTATTTTTATCAAACTGTATATTGCTTTAATTACTAAAGTAAATCTAAGGCTTACATTTTAGGATTAAGACACTATAGAATAATAAAATAGAGAACAACTGTGATACATAGCTGTGCAGTGGGGACAATAACCAACACAAAACAATCAGGAATAAGCTCCCAAGGAGTGGATCGCTGCACTCTACCCCAGGGCTCAGTGCGGATGCAGTTCCACAGGGTAGGTGCTGTACAGCTACAAAGAAAGCATATCGCTTCCATCCCATAAGATGGCCATGCTTTACAGCCTGGACAAAAACCTTATGTGGCCAGGACAAAAAATAAAATTTAATTTAATTTAAATTTTAATACAATTACCATAATTATGTTCCATGTATTTAAAAAAAAGAATTCTTTATCTGTTTCTCAAAACTGCAACCTTTAGAAGACTTCAAGGGACACATCCACATACAGTTCCTAAGCAATAACTGGGGCACCTCTACTTTGTAGTGGTTACCTGGAAGATTATCCCTACTCATTTTGGCATTTCCATCCCCAAAGGGGTTGCTCAGAAACTCTTCTCTGGCTCCTGTCATAAATGCGGTATGATGACTTAGAGGAAGAACATTTTTAGCAGCAGCTCTTCCAGTGTGGAATTTTCTCCTCAAAGATGCTTAAATGGTACTTTCCTTGTTGTATGAGAGTTTTTTCAGGCCTTTTAATAACATTTCACTCTGAGCAGATCCACGCTTACATTTTGTTAGATTATTATTGTTCAAAACCTCCCTGGCCTTGAAGACTGGAATATAATTTGAAGCTGAACATTGTGGAAGCAGAACACCTTCTGCAGCACCTAAACATAGCTTTGATAAATACACACCCCCAGATGTGGACTTAGTATTGCTGTCCATAATTGTGTACTGAAACATGCTGTACTAATTAATATATGTTTTCAAAACTCCAACCTATTTCCGGTGTAGTTTTCTAGTCTTCTCTGTCCACTACTCCAGATATTATCCCTTCTGAGCAATCATATTTTTCAGGCTAGTTATGATTTCTTGACCCTAAGGCAGACAACTTTTGTTATCTTAAGATCACACTTTTTATTTGTCACAAGGTCACAGCAGCTAATGGATGACTTGAGGAGGCAGTGCTGAAATTTCTATCCCTGGTTTAGTGTAAAAAAAAGTTTCTAAAGCTTATCAGAGATTAACGCACCTATTTAACTGCTGATTTCAGGGAAAAAAACATGAAAACTTGCCACCACTTTTCAGTCATGCTGTTTCAGGGTGCTCCAGTTATTGTGGGGGAAGGGGACTTGGGAATTTCTTCATATTGTCCATCCCTGCTCTACCCAGTAATTGAAATGGTTTTCAGGTACAGTGACCATACATACTTTATTATAAAGGACAGTCCTTTATTTCAGAAAGCTGTCCTTTAGATTTATTTATTTTTTAC